GGGATAATCATTGGAGAATAAGGGTATACTAGGTGGCCATCTACAGTTCCATTAGGAGTTTAGGGTCCAGGGTTCATCTACGAACAGTAAGGGGCAAAAATTCAAGCATGGGAACGTGAGTTCTACTATTTGTTCCTCGTGGCATCTTTTTTTGGTTCAGGGGGTACTGATATTTCAACTTTCTGGCTTCTACCCTTAACTCTAAACCCTAAACTACTGCAGGGTCTTGGGCTCGGAGATTTGAGGTTCCGGAAAACTAGGGTTGGCAGTTTGAGGTGACGGCGTGCAGTGGAGGGTAGAGGACGCAATGTGAGCCATAGTCTAAATTCCTTAAAAGGGGTTATATAGGGGACTGCTATAATTTTATTAAGCGGGATACTAGGAGTTTAGACTATAGCTCATGTAGAAGCTTACTACATTCCCGACATTGGGCAAAGAAGAGGGGGCTTTGGGTTTGGAGCTCCAGGTCAATGATCTAGGGCTCTGGGGGTTGTGGTTCGGTGTTTGTTATTGTTTATATGCTGAGGTCGATGGGATCGCATGCTCCCCCAAATTAAGATGGATCCTACACAGCAGGCCTATAACGATTACTGTCCTTCGAATAGGAGGATATATGGGGTTCCACTTTAGTTTTGGGTGAGGATATCTAACCGCATCCTTAGGCAGACAGCCCCTCCTTTACCTTTCACTTTCCTTGCTGGTTCTTAGTAAGGAATAAGGCAAAATATCCCCTGTATAATCCCTATATTATGCATTCCCTCACTTCCTGCTAACCCTGAACCCTCAACCCTAAAAACCCTAAACCCCTAATCCCTAGACCCTAAAACCCTAAATCCAAGAGCCCTTGAAATCTCACAGATGCCGCAGATTTCTCGATCAGCATTTGTGGGCTCTTCAAGTCGAGAAAGGGAAGCACGCTAACCCCGTGGATTGGTTTTTGGGTGCAGGGTTTGGGTTTGGGGTTTAGGGTGCAGGGTTTAGGGTTTAGGGTTTCAGGGCTTAGTGTGTGTAGGGTTTAGGGTTTAGCGTTTAGGGTGTAGGGTTTAGGGTGTTGGGTTTTGCATTTCCTGCACACCCTCAGACTGCGCATCCCAGACTAACATGGAACCTCATGTGGGTAGTTCCTATCCAAAACGACCATGGTTTCTGCACACGCTTTCTTAGCATTCCACTTTGCCCCATTTTCCTAATACGAAAAACCCCTCACCCCCTGAATAATCAATGTTCACATTAGAGCATTTTATGCTGTATGTGGAGTATTCATTCCTAGGAAGTGGAGCTTAATTTTTCGGGGCGTGAGTTCCTTGCATAGTAAACCCCACGAAGCTTAGTCCGGTTTTGCAGATGCTCAAGCATCGCCTCCAAACCTTGAACTCTAAACCCAAATCCCTACCCGAAATCCTAGACCGCTCAGGTCTTCAACCCCGAAGAGGAGTTCTACCCCACCGACACTCCAGGTCTGTCGATGCGACTGCCACCCTAGTCTAAACCTTTAACTTAGGTTGGGCCCCTAAACCCTAAACCCTAAACGCTAAACCCTAAAAACCCTAAACCCCCAACATAACAGTATTGACCTTAGTATCTAACTGCCATTATCCATCTTGGGCGCTATTAGTTGGTGGTGCCCTAGCCTAGCCTTAAACCTTATGTGACAGCCATGCAGAGCGGTTGGCATGTGCGAACTCGTGATCAACCTTAAAATGTAAGGCAGTAGTCTTGTGGCATGGCCAGTTCTGTGTCAAAAAACGACGTCGTTGCAAGTTTGGACATCATATCTCACATGGTTCCCAAACTTGAGTTCATGCAGCTTGGCAATTCATGCGGGAGTCGTCATGTAGTTCTTATGCTTGGATATTGGGGCTAGATTTTTCCCTCACGGCAGTCTTTGCACGCCCATTTTCGGGGTCCCAAGTTTGTTTTAGAAAGGGCGGGAAAAAACACCATAGGCTCCAAACCTCAAACCCAAAATCCTAAACCTCAAACCCTAAACCCTACGTAAACTTTAAACCCAAAACCCTAAACTACCCCTAAACCTGCAACCTGAAACACCCATGGCAGTCGCCACACAGAAAAGCTGTTGGGGTTTTAAACAAAACCATTGACCCTAAACCTCAACAGAGCGCGTTCTGTGCAGGCGACTTGGACAGCCGCCTGACCAAGGCAGTGCAGGCGGTGGCAGAGACCCCTGGCTTTCCAAGTCCTTCAGGATTCCAACAGCTCAAGTATTAGGATCAGCTACAGTAGCGGAGTTTCCAACGGGGAGTTGAGGGTTCACGGATTAGGGGTTCAGGGTTTCAGGTTGGGGATAAAGGTTTACCCTTCCCAACTAGCATGGACTCACTTTTTATGGGGCGAATTCAACTTCATTCATGGGGTTAGTATGGGCCTCTCCACTACAGGGTCCCCTACTCTCAGATTTTTCAGGGCGTCTTACGTCGTGTTAGAGTTTCGGGGGCCATGGTAGTCCTATGATTTGATGGGTTGTGTATGGGGTCGATAGGCATGTGTAGCGACGTTTAGGGCTTAGGGCGCAGCATGGTAGTCGACAAGGGCCCTTTGGAGAAGTATTTAGAGAAGCCTGCCGCAAAAGGGTTTAGTGCATAATAGTATAGTAGTATAGCTGCAACCAGTGTAGGGGTTCTGGCGTCAGGGCTTGTATTTTCGGGTCTGATTAAGGTTTAAGAAA